GATGATGAAGATGACGTTTATGAAGGCTATCAGAAGGATGGAAATAACGATAAAGATTGCCATGACAATGAAGATGACAATGACGCTGATGTTGATGATGCGGAAAAATACTGTTTACGATGTGATAATGCCGACGACAAGGAAGATGAATGTTGCGATGACGACGAGTTGCTGATTGGTGAGTGTGGTACAAGAAGGTCGAGACTGACGTTCTGCTGTTGGACGCATGTGGCAATAGCGCAAGTAGACGGTGTCTCGTGTGGTCGCTAGTTTCCTGCGACAGTGGCCGGCTGTTGACGGACCTTCAGAAGCATCAGTTTCTCGCTACAATGCACAGAACAAGCTGTCACCAATTTCACTGGCCCACCCTCCTCCAGCAGTACTCAGCTCGCGCTCTCGCAACCAAGTCGAGTCGAGTCGGGGATTACATCAACTGTCAGTTGCATAATCCATTTGATTGGAAGAATAAGACCGGCCCGGCCTACTCGTCTTGTTGTTACATGGTCATGCGAGATTTGGGTTAGGAAGACCGAACGACGACGCGCGGAGGGGAGCTGGTACTTTGTGTGCGGGGAGGGGGTGGAACCTTGCGAGGAGAGAACGCTGGGGAGCAGGCCCTGAAGACGAGCCCACAATTTCTGGTCGTTGGCAGGACTGAAATGTAACGGAATGCAAGAATTGCCTGCCAACCCTCTCTCACTCCTCCGGCAAACAAGGCCCCATGAAGGAATACAACAATACACACATACGCATACACATACACATGCGTAAGCACATTGACAGCCAGAATCACAGTCACATGCCCGATCCACCGAGGGTCTGGATCCGACGGATTCGTTTCTCTCGATCGTTTGTATTCGCGACCCCGCCGACAACGAATACCGAACAGGATGTCGTTTGGCACACGCTTGCAAAAACATCTCGTGGGATGTTGGCTATACCTGCTCCATCCTCTGCTGTATCACTTGTTTGTGTGTATCAGGCATGTATGTATGCGTATGTATGCATTAATGTATACCTCTCAATTCGCCAGTTTTACTAATTTCTTAATACGTTAGTTTGTATAGCTTCAAAAACACATTTCAGTTTTCATCCATTTATGCGTCTGTGCATGTTTGTATGTCTACTTTTTTGTACGATTCTATTTGCTTCATTCATGCAAGGTTTTAATGTTTTGCTTTTGCATATTTTGCCTTGCACCGGTTTGTTCGTCTCTTTCACCATCGTCCTTTTCGACGGCACACTCAACCAAGTTTCTCCAGGCATCGCATGTCTCCGTTTGCGTTAATGCATGCGTGTGACTGTCAATTTGCAGGTGTCCTCGTCGCTGTCTCTGCGCGTCTGCCTCGTCCTGAAGCCATGAGAGCCCCAGCCCAAGAGTCGGAGAAGTTGGTACCGAAGAGGTGGGGGGATGGGTGGGGGGTGGTCGAGATGAAGGGTGAGGGGGAGGTGGGCAATGGTGGTCCGAGGCCGGGGCCAAATGGTGGCCATATCGCACGTGGAGGGCCAGCAGGGAGGAGCTCAATTCGGGGCACGAGGGGTGGTCGGGCGGCTTTTCGGACGTCGAGACCGAGACTGGGTCGGTTGGGCAGGCAACAGGCCGGCCAACCTGTCGATCTGCCGACGGAAATGTACAGTCGTTCTCATTTGAC